ACCATCCCCAAATTTATTTAATCACTTATTTCTATATTTAGGTTATTTCTAAGGAAGAGAGAAAGAGAAAAGGGGGCTCCAGCGATTTAGAAAGCCCTTGTGCCAACATGAATGGAGGAGGAAGAGGTGAATGGTTGGATGCTCTCTCTGTGGTCACGTGCCCTTTACTTACCTCTGCAGGATCTAGTACCACATCTTGAACAGTTAGGCGCTCAGAGAACATTAACTAAAGATGGGGAGGAAAGATGGAGGGTCTTTAATGAATTTTACTGCCTGATCTTTATGATCAGTCACTACTTTGAAATACAATCTGTAGATTAATTCCCTCATTTTAAAATGAAATGGTATTCAATAAATGATTCCAAATTAAAAACAGTGAGCATGTGCTGGGAGTGGGTAGGCCTAGGAGGGAGAGCAGGGAGGTTTCAGGAGCAGAGTCTGGTAGCCCAGCAGGTGGCAGAAGGGACAAATGAAATGTCCCTTCGTTTGAGGGCTCTGCAGTGCTTTTGTCTCGCTTTTGCTGAGAGACTTCTTCTCATGGGAAAGGGAGAAGATCTCCAGCTCATTTGACTCATGGAGCCTAATGTGTTTCTACTGTTGGTTGATAAAATTAATTAGGAAAGGATTTTTCATTTGGCCAAGAATCCAAGGCCAACCCAAGTCTAACAGAAGCCAGTATCTAGAAGTGGGGCACAGATATCTAGTTTGTAAAGATTCCCCAGATTATTTTGGTGTTCAGCTGAGCTTGGAAACCACACTGGGCTGGTCCATTCCTCTGCAGACCCCAGGCTAACTCCTGCTGTGTTACAGATTCAAACTCTCAATGTATCAGGCAATTGACTCCCATGTGGTTAGCTTAGAGCTAACCACATGTAATTCAAGTTCCTCTTCAGCATTCAGAGCAGATAGAAACACTGCCACTTAGCCTTCTCATATTCTATACTAAGAAAACATTAAAAAGACAGTTATTTCATTCTTTTGTAAACTTCAAAATTACAGTTGATGCTTATCGGAGAGTTGAACAGGAAGAATGATAGAACAGAGTCCTGTTTTGGAATTTTTCAGGTAATGCCTGTATTTGGGGCTGTGCTTTGCTCAGTTAATAGCAGAGGCTGCTGGCACAGGGAAAGGTATAATTCTTTTCCAGATTATAGGAGTTGCAGCTCACACAGAGAGTTCTCTGTGATGGAGGCCAGTCAGCTTTTATGGACTTCAATGCTATTTGCTTCAGTACACTGTGAAATGCAGGGTCAGCTCACCTAGCTCCATCATGCAATAATAACACATTTTTATAGGAGTAGCTTGTCAGAGCAGCAACAACGTGCAATACATAAAGCCAATAAACACACCAGGTCTACAGATTCTATCCTAGTAACCGGATAAAGCAATAAAATTGTCAGCAGCCATCAAAAAGCTCCCTTTCTGACTTTGTGGGGTGAATTTACTGTTGCTTAAAGCAGAGGAACTGTAACAGAACCTTAGATCAGGTGCAGTTACAAAACACAAGTCACATCACGTGGAAGGGGAGCACAGAGGATAAATGAAAGCAAGACAGGCAGCTAGGTCTAGCCATGGTGGAGACACTGTAGCCTGAAACCAGATTAGAGATTTTCTACAAAGTTACACATTGGATATTATTGAGGACAGTGCGACTATGGGGCAGTAGGTGAGGAACTAGAATTTCCAATCTGCAGCCTAAATATCTAAGGCTGGAAAGAGCTGACATTTGACAAAAAAAACACAGGGAACACAGTGGGCTGGTGTTGTTTGAGATTACATTCTTACAGTCAGACCTTTTATACTCTGAGTAGGAGGAATACACTTATTAAGAATCCAGAAGGATTTTATAAGGGGTCAGTCATTTGCCTGGGAATCCAGGGCCAACCTAGTCCAATAGAATCTTAATATCTGGGGATAGACACAGGAATTCAGTTCTTTTTTTTGTTTTGGTTTGGGTTTTTTTACTTTTCTTTTTTTAGTTTTTCTGAGATAGGGTCTCATTATATAGCCCAGGTTGACCTTGAACTCACAATCTTCCTGTCCCATGAGTGCTAGGATTACAGGCAGGTGTCACTGTGCCCAGCCAGGAATCCAGTTTTTAGTTTTTTGTTTTGTTTTGGTGGGACTGAGGTTTAAACTCAGGACTTTATGCTTACAAACTAGGTGCTCTACCACTTGAACTACATCTCTATCCCCATTTTCATGGGGTCTCACAAACCAGTTGCCTGGGTTGGCTCAAAACACAGTCCTCCCAATCTCAGACTTCCAAGTAGCTAGGATTACAGGTGTAAGCCACTGGCACCTGGATGGGAGGTTTTTTTTTTTTTTTTTCCATATAATAAATTGCATGTAATAAAGGAATTCACCATGACCTTTCCATCTACAAATATAATGTACTTTGGCCATATTCTCCCTTCTATTACTCTTTAGAATCCATATTTTTGTGGCACTGGGATTTGAACTCAGGGCCTTGAACTTGCTAGACAGGTTCTCTACTATTTAGCAACTCCACAAGCCTGGAATCTAGTTTTTTTTTAATTGGCTTGAATAATTCTGGTGAGAAGCGCATGTGGGAGGCCTAGGAAACACTGGAGATGTTGATGGAAGCTAAGGGTAGGTGGATATGGGCATGGGGGGCGTGGAGCAAAAGTAGGTGCTGACAAAGGCACAGGGATCAGAGGCCAGACAACATGTCAACAATCGTTAATATATTGAACCCTTACCACATCCATGTTCTAGAACATCCTTGGGCAGACAGTCTCTCACTGGGCTTACATTTGGGGGGAGAGGATGAGATAGACAAATTGCAACAAGTGAGAAAGATAATTCCATACACTGATGAGCACAAGAAGACAATTAAGGTGCCAGAAATCTCACTGGGTGTGGCATGGCTTGGTTTGAATTGACAGGGAAGAGAAAACCGTGAAATCTCACGGGTGCTTGGGAACCAGCCATATGGAGACTGACTGCAGCATCGTCCAGGCAAAGGAAAGGGCAAGTGAAAAGTCCTGAAGTCCCCCAGAAGGAGAGGGGTTCCCCCACTGCAGTGGCCCTGCCTGTCCTGCTTTTCCTGGGGTGAAGGAAAGATGAGGAGTTTCCTGCCTTATCACTGTTATCATAGCCCACTATTTGTCTCTTAACCTAAGAGCTAGCAAATTCTGACTAGATTGTCTTTCTTTGTTTACGCTACTGGGGATGAACCCAGGGCTTCACACATGCTAGGCAAGTGCTCTACCACTTGAGTCATACCCCAACCCTCTGATTGGATTTTAAAATTGATCAATTCTTATTGATATTCAGAATTTCCTAACGATTGTTACCATCTCTAACCTAAAATTGGTTGTAGAATTGAATGAAGGCCTTATACAGTTGTCTGTTAGTTTCCATGGGGGGAGATTGGTCCCAGGAACTCCTCATAGATACCAAAACCCTCAGATGTCCAAGCCACATATAAAGTGGCATAGTATTTGTATACAACCTACATGATCCTCCCATATTCTTTAAATCATCTTTAGATTTACTTATAACATTTAATACAATATAAAGACTATGTAAACAGTTGTTATACAATATTACTTAGGGAATAATATGAACAAAGCCTGTACATATTCAGTATACATATAATTTTTTAAAACATTGTTGATCCATAGTTTTTGAATACATAGATACAGAGGAGAAGGATGACTATAAACACAGCATCTGAAGGTATTGTGGTGCACATCTGCAATCCTAGCACTTAGGAGGCTGAGGTAAGAGGATTTTGAGTTGGAGGCTAGCCTAGGCTACATAGTGAATTCCATGCCAGCCTGGGCCACACACTGAGCTTCTGTCTCAAAAAACAAACAGAAACACAGCAGTCTAGTACTTGAGCTCCAATAAGTTTGTCCAGAAGTTCAGACCTCAGAAGATTAAGGCCTGGATCAGTGGGATTCTTTGGGTCTTAGAAAGACCTAAGTTGTGACATTGTCAGCTGCCCTGCCCTCTTTGTCTGTCCTCATTCAATGGCCCTGTCCCCTGCTTGTCCCTGGAATGGGCTTTGCTGACACTTCCAGAAAACACTTCTCAAGAAGCTAGCCTTATTGTGCTTCTCACAGCTAGTGTGCAGGAAAGACCTCGCCAGGACACTCCTTTGTAAATGTGTGCTCTCAAATACTTTCCCGGTGAATAGGCTTTTGAAGGGCTGCTTGGGAACCAAACCACCTTTTATCTCCCTGTTCCTAAGGGAGAGGGGCTTCTAAGGCCCAGACACCCAGGGGAGAAGAGCATTTTGGACCACAGCCCACCTGGAAGCTGGCTCTGCAACACAAGAGCCAGTACTCCAGACAGGCAGAATGGAGCCTCCCTGGGTATGAAGAGAGAGAGACAGCTGAAATCCTAAACTTCAGGAATAAAGAGGGCTCTTTTATCATTATTATTATTATTATTATTATTATTATTATTATTGTAGTGATTTGTACCGGAGGGTATTATAGAGAGCTCAGAAACCTAAGAATTAAGGAGATAAATGAAGTCTATTTGAGAGCAAGGTTTATTTCTTAGTCTTTTTTTTTAAATTCATTACATTTTTCTTTTTTCATTTAAAATAAGCACTGAGACTCTGTCCTGGACTAATTTGCCCAAATGGCTGCATTACTGAGAGTTCAGCTTCAGAGAGCGATAGAGTAGGGGGGTGGGGTTTGCCTTAGTGCTGTCCTTTCAGGCAGAGTGGGAAGTGCTGCTCCTGGTGGGTTCCTCATCCCTCAGCTCCCACCCACCTTCCCCATGAGGAAATGACTCTGTGGCTCTCATAGAGAGCTCTGGTCCCTGTCACTTTACCCTCCATGGAGGACTCACAAATGTAAGAAGCTCAGAAAAGCAACTCAATCCCAGCCAACTCCAGGAGCCAATCTGAAAAGTCTGGTCACCAAAAAATGGTCATGGTCACCAACAGATGACAGTTTCTTCACTTAGGGCAATTTTGCTAAACACATTTTTCAGTCTTCCCTGGAAAGCCTTTAGCACTAAATATGTTGGTATTTCCACCTGAGAAGGAATTTAACTACAAAAATGAGCAGAATGACAAGCAAGAGTAAAAACACCACAAGAAAGAAAGCACCCACAGGTGTAATCCCACAGGACAGCATGACATCGGACAGCTTGACCCTCCTCAGCGATTCAGGATTTGCACACAGGGTCTCCTCTGAGTCCTCGAGTTTGTGCATGTTTTCTTTGTACCATGTTAAAAAGTGAATATTTGAGCAAGTGCAGTCCAGAGGATTGTGACTTAAATTAATAGTACTCTGCTGGGACAAAATGGGGAGGAGATGGGATGGGATGACTCGAATGCCATTGGCAGCCAGGTTGAGGTGAATTCCCTTAAGATGGCTAAGAGCTTCGATGCTATTGGATGTCAGGCTATTGTGGCTTAGGTCAACGTGGTGCATTTTCCCAAGGCTGTTGAAGGCTTGCTGGTCTATGGAAGAGAGATCACAGGAGGATAAAACCAGAATCTCCAAGCTGCCCACTTTCTGAAGAAGGTTGGTCTTCGGGATATTTCCATCTTGAAAGTGGTTCCCCTGTAAGTTCAAATGCCGGAGATCCAGAAGGCCTTCAAGAAGATGCTGATTGCTGGTGTCAAGGAGACAGTGAGAGAGATTGAGAACCTGCAGGAGATGGAGGTTTTGGAAAGGACTTTGTGCAGCATTAACACGTAAGTGAGTGTAGGCCAAATCCAGGAGTTCCAGTCGAGGACATGCTTTGAATGCCTCGCTTTGGAGGCCAAGAGGTTCGTTGTAGCTCAGGTTCAGGCTTTGCAAGTGAGGCAGGGTTTTGAGTTGCAGGTTGCAACAATCAGAAGCATCTATGTCACTATGGCTTAAATCGAGTTTCTGAAGATTTTCTAGTTTTTCTAAACAGCCAGTACCAAGGTGAAGTTTCTTCATGTTGCCTCTGATGTAAAGGTGTGTAAGGGAGGGGAAACTGGCAGCATTGATTTGACACAACTGGTCAAAATTATTTACATTAAGAACTAATTTCTTGAGTGAGTTCATACCCTCCATCCCAGAGGGCAATCCTGTCAGGTGAGTAGCTGTCAGGTCCAGTTGCTGGAGATGGGTGAAGCACTGGAACATGGTGGAGGAGAGGTCAGAGAATCTATAGGTCTGTAGATTAAGGCTCTCCACAGACATTTCACAAAGCCCCTTGAGCATGGCTGAACTAAGGTCTTGGGCATCAGTGTCCTCAAATGTCCCCAGCCACAGAGACTGAACAGTAGAGTTCTGCAGACCACTGAATATCACAGACAAGTTGACAGTCCCTCCAAAATTCAAACTTTGGAAGACTGTTGACTTGAAAGCCCCAGGCTCAATTCCTTTAATGTCATTACCATTGAAGTTAAGGCTTAGGTTAGTGACCTGCTTCAGAGAGTTCAGATCTTCCCTAGAGAGGTAGTGTATAGCATTGTTCTGAAAATCCAGAACTTTCAGATTCCCTGTTGGGAAGTCTTTGGGGAGCTTGATGGAGGAAATATGGTTGCTTCCAAGGTGCAAAGTTTCTAAGTTTTTCAGATTGTGCACTGGGATAAACTCAAGACTGGACATTCCTGTTTGGATTAAGAACAGATGCTTCAGTGATATGGGTCCATCAAGTGCCGTTTCTGCCATGAATATCAGGGGATTTCCCGTTAACACAAGTGTGCTCAGTTGATGATGGCTTTGAAAAGTGTTTTCATGTATCCAGCTAATCTGGCACCTTGAAAAAATAATCATATTTTATAATTATTAGAGAAAAAAGAAAAAAAAACACTGCCACAGTGATAATCCTTAACGAGCCCATCTTTTGCAAATAGTAAAGCAATATGCATTATTATTGAAAATTAAATACAAAAAAGTTTGCCAGATCCACAGATAGCCTGTTGAATTAATCCATGAATAGCCACAGTTCTGACTACCGATTTAGAATTTATACTAGATGTCTTGCCCCTTTAAATCGAACACTCAGAGGTTTATATTTATACTGTAAGTAATAATTCATGGCTTTGTTGATTGTTTTAAAATCAAATCATTACTATTTTAAATAATATAAAATATGTATATAAAGCATAATAGATAATGCAAGATGTATCATATATAAACCTGTGCCATCATGGGCAAATTATAACCTTTACTAAACTTTTTTTGTGGGAGAGGGTGCTAGGGATTGAACCCATGACTGCACAAACTAAATACACATTCTTCCACTGGGCTACACTCACAGTCCTTAGTTTTCATCTGTGAAATATAAAAAGAATGCTACTTTGTAGGACTATTACATGTCAAATGATATATGTGAAAATAGTATATTGGACTACAGAACAGCAGAGGTTTGGAGAACCTCATCTTTGTATTGCATTTAAAAAGAACTGGAACACACACACACACACACACACACACACACACACACACACTGTGGTTTCCTCATCTAACCAGAAGGCAGTATAACATTCAACACCAGCAACTCCCAGTGGTTATGACCTTGAGACATTACTGAGTTTCATGGAAGGACCAAAGTGGAGGAAGTGAACTGTTGCAAGGACGCAGGGGTTGTGAGCACTTGGACTTCTTCCACACACACAAGCTGCACAGCCCTTCTGCCTTCTTCCCTCACTTTTTAGTAATACTTCAGTTCACTGGATCTCAAACACTGATTCAGCATTTGGAATCCTGATTCTACCCTAAAAACAGATAATGGAACTCTTTGTCCAATTTGGGTGTGGGAGTTAACAGGCACATGTGTTTCTCCTGCAAAATTTTCTTAAATGTCATTACTCAATAATAGTCAAATATAGCATAATATGGCATCTGATTTAGTATAAAATGTATTTTCATTTTGTTAACAATATCCTTTAGAATTTCTTAAACTACACTGATAGTTTGAGAACAGTTCACCTTCCTCTCCATTGACTGGTGTTTATTTGAATCACATTTGACCTGCATACAAGTCTTTCATGGAGGGGGTAAGACAAGTAGTTTGTCTCTGTGCCTTAAGAAGATCTTAGAAACAACTTGAATGCACGGTGTGTATTTACTTAAGTAAAACATCAAGAATACATAGGAACTCAGATACATACCTGGTTAAATCCAAAAAAGTAAGATTTATGAGTCTGCTGAAGGTTGTATTTTGAATTGCAGGCAAGAAATTAAAACTGAAATCCAAAGATTCTGTTGAATTTGGTAGAGTGCCAGGAATTTCACTGAGATCTAAATTTTCACAGTTATATGTTTTGTTGGCTTCTTTCTGATGAAAGAAACAATATAAATTAATCTTAGGTTTGGTAATTTGGCTATCTTGTAAAATTAGATGTTTTGTCATTTGAATAGCAATCTTACTTTTAGCATTCTTTACCAAATATATGCCTGCAAAAAACACAAAATGACTTGTATATAATAATGTTCATTATAGTTTTTTGGAAATATAATAAATAATGGCAATAAATAATGACTAGGCCTTGATTAGATGATGATTTCACATAAAGCTGTGAGGAAAAGGCATTTTTAGACTGTGAGAGACCTTTGGATGGAGATAGGATTAGAGGATATTAAGAAACTATAACTTTTGTTGACAAAAGATTGACAATAACCAGGGAATCCATCAATGTGGAGCTAGTTGAGCAAAATAGGATACACTCACAGATGGAACCCCCAGAGCTGCCAAAGAGATGAGAAGGATATGCATACATTGGTAAGGAGTGACATCCAAGACATAGTGTAAATTGGGAAAAGCAGAGTGTACAACATTGTAAGTGTATATAGGACGTGGTATACCAGCTTTCATGTGAAAAAGGGTACGCACATGTTTTGTATGTAAAAATCAACCATAGTAAAGAATAACCAGTGATTTTTAAGGGAGGGGAGGAGCCAGATACAAGAGTCGTGTGCAGTATACTTTGGCTTATACTTGGGGTTGTGTGTGTGTTGTGTGTGTGTAGGATTGTTTGTTGCTGTTTGATTTGGTTTTTCTTTTCTTTTCTTTTTTTTGTTTTTTTTGAGGCAGTGACTTCCTAGGTAGCCTAAGCTGGCCTTGAACTTGAGATCCCCTTGCTTTAGCCCCCCAGGTAGTGGGATTATAGGCATATACCACCAGGCCCAGATAAAGTTTTGATTTTAGATGCATAGAAACACTTTCTTTCAGCTTGAAAAAAATCCAACAGCACCCAACGTTTCTCCCAAATAAGACAATAAGACATAATGCTATTTCTGACAAGGTACAATATGGAGCACATAGCACTACCTATAAATATTCTTGCCAAAAAGAAAAAAAAAACTTGAATCCAGTCAAGACTTTAGGTCTAGCTTCAGTGTATAATTGATATGGCAGATTTAAACAATACCACAAGGTAGCAGTTAACCAAGAGAAGGGGTAGAGGTGGGGTTAAATGGAGAGAGAGGGAGAGAGAGAGAGAGAGAGTTTTGTTAATATAAAAGTTACTTATAAGATATAAACAACAACAATAGACTAGCTCTTGTTTAGTTTATATCTAAAATAGACAATTTATAGATGTCAGGGAACTTTGAGCACAGGATTAGATAATATTAAGAAATTACAGGTTTTGTTACTCTCAGTGGCTTTGTGCTTATGCAAAGGGAACGTCGTTATTCTTTTAGATGCAGACTAAAGTACTTAGAGAATAATGGCAGGATGCTTGGGGTTTGCTTTAAAACACTGGCAGAAGTGAAGGAGGGAAGGAGTGAATAGATGACGTTAGTAGGCAGAAGGCTGACGGTTGGTGAATGTTGAGTGACACATTATATGTCACTCAACTATTTTGCAATATGCTTACAAATTTTCTTACCATAATGTTAAAAAAACATACTAACAACACAGCACAGAACTTAGGAGTTGTACTCTTAAGTATGAATTCATTTCAGATCTGTGGTATCTGCAGGCTGAGGCTACCAGCCCCTAGGCCTTTGGGTACAGTCCTGTACATAAGTACAAAGGACTTGCTTACCTTGTACCCCACATAGTAATGGATTTGGAAGTCTGCCAAACATTGCCTTTCAAATACTCTAATCCAAGTTATAAATCTTAGTCTAACTAGATAAAAAATGGGAAGTAATTCATTAGAAGCCTATGGAGCTGCAGGCTCATGACTTACATGAATGATGCTTTAGGGTGAAGGGCAGGGAGGCAGGTAGGAAGGTCTGATGGGGTATTTCTTGCCTGAGGCGGCTCCTAGGTAGGAAGGCACAAGAACATGGTTGCCCAGGACCATGGGCCTGCTCTCAGATAGTCTCAGGCTGCAGGTGAGTTCATGCAGCCAACCAGCCCTGTCCTTCCCTGATCACACATGGCTCACTGGAGGCCCCACCAAAGTTGTGCATCTGACAAAGATCTCCCCTACCACACTCCAGATCAGTGGCTTTCCTCATGCTGAGTTGCACGCAGACTTGCCTAGCTGGAGACAGAAGCGCACAAAGCTTCCTTTGCTCTCAACTGTGGGGCTTGAGATGCCGCCATTTTCATCACTTTGCTTCACTCCAGTTCTGCTTAGTGGCACACGTTTTCATAGCTACTGTGAGCATGTTCAACTACAGGAAATCCTGGTTTCCTTCTCTATTGTGACAATATTATAACTGCCACTGATGAAAATGCCATATTTGTATTTCCTTGTAATTCATTCTTCATTTTTATAGACCCAAAGTCCTCTAGGCACTGCCACAAATCCACATAACTTCCTTGAAATGAACACTTTGCATTTAAAACTTAGATTTAGCTGACTGGTGGGGAAGTGAAAAACATGTTACCAGACTTGTCCTTGGTACTCATGAATGGGGACTGCCCAAAAAGAACATTTATGTCAGTTGCGGCCCCCAAAGCGGCTTAGGTGCTGAGTAGCTTGGAGGAGACATTTTTCTTTTCTGATCTCCATTGACATAACTGATTTCACATTCACTTGAGAAAGGGACTTTCCTCAACTTGTCTTGCCCCACAGCAAAAAGCTCAACTAGCAATTGCTTCCTTCTGAATATGTAAGTGCCCATGACAGCTATATTATCCTGTAGCTCAGCTTCCTGTGTGCTTTACTAAGCACTTTACTGCACTAATGGGATTCAGAAAAGTTAAGATTTCAGGAGGAGCTCTGTGAGCCAGGGGTCCGAGGGAGCTTCTGGAAAGAGCAAAGGCAGGTAAATTAAATAGCTCAGTTTCAACTGAGTAAAACCTAAGAACCAGTGGTTGATGCTACCAAGCAGTGTCAAGAACCCTGTGCCACCATAGTAAATAACCTCCAGTTAGGTGGAGGTTGTTGCCATTTGATACCTAGGAGAGAGAAGAAATGTAGCTAAGAGAATTTAAAAACCAAACACATTTCCAAAAATGACTTGGACTTTGCACATGCGTGAGCCCACTGCCTCAGAGCTTTTTCAATCACAACTACAATCAAAATTGCTACGATGGTGGGGATACCAAAGCACTGCATGTTCTGGAAACATCTAAGAAGCATTACAGTGTTTCCAGTTGACTGTATTTTTTTAAGGCTGGCAGAGTGCACATGTATACACACATTCACAATTATTCTCATTCTTTTGGAATGGGAGTAAGTTGAAGACATAGTGACTCCTAAATACCTCAGGTTATATCTCCTAAGAACAGGATATATAATCATAGCGTCACTACCAAATTTAGAATATTTAACATGATTCAGTGTTACTATTCAGCATATACCTTATATTTAATTTTGCCATTTTTCCCAATATTTATAGTATTTTTTCTTTATGCAATACAGGATCATACACTGCACTTGTCATATTTCCTTAGAGTTCTTTAATCTGAAATAATTCCTTAGCCTTTTATGACACTGATTTTTATTTTTTTTAAAGAATACATGTTTATATCTGCCAGAATGTCATTATAGGTTGACTGGATTCAGGTTATACATTTTGGGTAGAAGTACTATATCAGCAAGATTGTATCTTTCTCCCCTGTTAAGCTGTCAGAGAGGGAGTTCTGATAATATGGCACAGTGTTGCAGAACTGCAAAACAATAACACTCAGAGAGTGAGAGGTGAGGATGTAGAGAAGGACCATACAGCTTGGCCACTGCCAGGGTCACCTGCTTCGGGTTGATTTTTCTAGGCCACTTCTTTAGAAAGCCTTGGATTTCTAGAATTTAGTAGGTTGTCAGTTTCTGAAGTTGCTTTTGCACTCATCTGCTTTGTCTGGCTAAACTGAAGACAGGACCCTTCTTGATGTGAAGTCCTGTAGCCAACAGAGCTGTGGCAAGGCCATGTGGTATTCATGGCTACTGCTCACCCCTGCTCCAAGTCAGGGACGTCTGCTTAGCACCCACCCAGCACTGGGACCCATGCCAGCCACTTCATATCCAGCTCCTCTGTCTCAAAGCTATGCCTTTTACCCGGAGGAGGACTCGCAAGTGTCACATGTGTATTTGCAATTCTTCTTCCCTCCAGGGGAGAATTCATTTGCATTTTTTCAATCAAGATCATATTTTGCTTCTTTCTGCTCTGTCTCTAACTCCCTCCCATCCCACTGTATTTTCTCTCCTTGCAAGTGTTGGAACATTTTCTAATTTGGAAGCCTTTGAATTTTACTGAGTGCTTATTCCCACCTTCCCAGATGCTTCATCTGCACTTTACACATTCATGCAAAGAGTCTGGGACACTGGGCCCAATCCTACCTCTTTAATCACACCTCTATCCAAGAGATAACAATTTGATGAGTAAGCTGAATTCAAAGCAACAATTACTTTCTGCAAACAAAGCAAAGCAGACCCTCCTAAGAAGGCACATCCCCCAAAACTTTGCTGTCAATCTGATTCCTGCAGAAAAAGGGTGTTCCACCTCCATGCACTTTATTTTCTGTTTGTCTTTAGATAAACTGGAGGAGTTGGTGATTACAGGAGCATCTCAACATCATTATCTAAAGATGGGAAACTCTTGCTAAGAGCTCAAAAAAGAGCTCTGCTAAGCGAACCCCATCCCTAGGGGCTGAAGAACTTTCTCTTAACATAGTTTTGAGGGGATGGGATGGCCCAGAAGAGACTGTTTGAAATGGGGAAGCATGCTTTTATTCCCAAGTAAGGATTCCAGAGTGCGCTGAAAATGTTACCACAATTTGAATCACACAACATTGGATTCCAGATACTATTTTCTTATTTGTCAGCCTCTGATGGGTTGGTCGTGGCTGTAATTTTGTACTTTTTCTCTCTCTCTCCTTCTTCTCTCTCTCTCTCTCATATATACACATATAGAACATGTAGCATTAAGCAATAGAAGAATTTCTATGGATTGTTTATGAGTGTTCATTATAATATTCTTAGAACTTGTGAGTAGGTTTGAACTCCTTTTAAACAGAGTTTTATGTAAAAATTAATCTTGGGCTAAAGGTGTGGCTCAAGAACAAGAGTGCATGTCTCACAAGCAAAGCCCAGAGTTCAAACCCCAGTACTGCCAAAATCATCACCACCACCATCATCATGACTCCTTGCTGCCATTTATGTAATAATGTAATTCCTGATAGACCTAGATCTAAGTGTGAAACCTAGAAATAAAAATAAATATGAAACAATAAACCTTGTGGAAATCATGGGATTATATTATCATAGGGGTAGGCAAAGATTTCTTAAACAGAACATAAATGCACTGAAAGTAATAGAAAAAATGATACATTGAGCTACAATAAAATGAAGGACTTCTATTTAGCAAAAAATACCTTTAAAAGAGTAGAAAGATTAAGTCACAGAGAGGAAGGAAATATTTGTGATCTGATAAGGGACTGTATCCACAATACATAAAGAATCTCTACAAATCAAATCAACCCAAGAGGAAATGGGCAAGAGACCTTCATATGAACAGGCTCTTCACATATATGTAAGAATGGTTACAAAGCTTATGTAATGATTACCTTTAGCTCAGTTGCAGTGTGCTTGCCTAGTGTGTGCAAGGTCCTAGATTTAATCCTTACCACGGCAAAAATGGGGGTGACATAAATAACCAACAAAGTATGAAGATGTACTCAATTGAGTTATTCATCAGGAAAATAAAATTTAATCCCCAGTGAAACACCCACCTATCAGAGTGGCTAGCATCACCTGTGTAAATATATATGTGAATGAGGCTGTGGAGCAATCAGAAGTCACACACATTACCAATGAGAATAAATTCATCCCAACATCTTGGAAAGCTGGCAGTATTTATTAAAGTCGAACATATGTAGGCCCTATGGCTAAATACAGCCACTTTTAGGTATATATTTAATAAAGATGTGTGCATTTGTTTCTTAATAATATAGACAAAAACCTCCAAAGCAGCACCCTTAGTAAAAGCCAAAAACTTACAAGTAATGCAAATGTCTATTAACAGTGGAATGGCTAAATAAATGGGAAGTCACCAATACCACAGAGTGCCATTCAGTGATGAGAATGAACAAATGATTGCTAGTCACATCATCAATAAGTCTTGCAATTTTTTTTGGCATGTAGTGGGGTTTGAATTTAGGTCCTGCTGTTGGCTAAGCAGGCACTCTACCACTTGAGCCATGTCCCCAGCCTTTTTTGCTTTGGTTACTTTTGAGATAGTGGCTTGCATTTATGCCCAGGTTGACCTGGACCAGGATCTTTCTATTTATGCTTCCCATGTAACTGGTATGGCAGGATTGTACCATCTTATGCAGCTTTTGTTGTTTGAGGTAAGGGCTCATAAACTTTTTGCCCAGGCTAAATTCAAACCATGATCCTTCTGATCTCCACTTGCTAAATAGCTAGGATTACAGGCATAAGACAAGTTTAATACTGAGTACACCAAATGGTACAAGGATATAAAGCTCAAAACCAAGCAAAAAAGAATTATGTGATAGAAATTAGAGGGCTGGATGCCTCTGGGCATCAGGCATCAGGGAGGAGGCACAAGGAGACTTCTGGTGCTGAGGACATCCTGGTCTGTGTGCTGGTTACATGGGTGTGTTCACTTGGTGAAAACACAATTGACTGCACACTTAGGGCTTGTCAACTTTCTCTGTGTATACTTTCTTCAACAAACTAAAACCAAAGAACAGAACAAAACCCTTACTTTCAGGCTAGTCTATAATAGCTCATGATGGTTAGTTAAGTGAGCATGTATATGGCTGTTATGCTTGAACTGGAGGTGAGGAATGAAAGGGGATAAGAAAGCAAAGGGAGGGGGTGGGTAAAACTGCGGGGTTCTTGAGCTTGGGAAAGGGCCAGCACTAAAAACCAAAGGCCAGACCTCTTCTCCTAACCCCTCCTGTTTTTCTTACACCTGTCTGCAGCCTAGAGGTCCCTTGCCTTCAGGAACAAGCTCCCATTCACCTTGGTCTCTCCAAATGCCCTTTCTAGTATTCACACTGTGGGAAGGGCTCAATAAACAGTCTAGAATCCTGTTGTTGGGAGTAACATATGAGAGAAAAGGCAAAAGAAAATGGTGATTAGAGGCCATTTAAAATCAGAGTCCTTTCAGAGGGAGAGCAACAGGAAAGTTACGGCAGGAAAAGATTTCTGGGCCTCTTATCTCAACCAAAAGGAAACTCAGTGCAATACAGGCCTTGCCTTGGAGATCCTGGGACCCATTGCATCACTCCTGTGACCCAAATAGCACTGACAACCCAGAACAGACAGCCAAAGGACATCACTCCTCTCCCTGCCTCTTTCCCCTTCTCTCTGTAGAAGCCAGAGTGATTTGTAAAAGGGAACTGGCAATTCTGGGGCCTGATGTGCTCTAGTTACTGGTTCGGTATTTTCCTTCTGTTGTGGGCTGAATTGGAATTGCATTACCCACCTCCTCCATTCATATGGTGAAGTTCTAACCCCCAGTACCTCAGGAAAAGATTCTATTTGGAGAGAGGGTCCTTAAAAAGGCAATTATGGCAAAATGAAATCATCTAGGTAGGTCCTAATTCAATATGACTAGTGTCCTTATAATAGGAAATTGGACACAGCCCCACGCACAGTGGAAATACCTCATGAAGACATAGGTAGATGTTTGTCTACAAACTAGGAAGAGAGGCCTCAGAAGAAACTAACCAGTCAACACCTTGATCTCAGACTTCCAACCTCCGGAACTGTGAGAGAATAAATGTCTGTTGTTTAAACACTAGTCTGTGGCACTTTGTTACAGAAACCTGAGCAAACTGATACACCATCAGCCTTAATTTCCCCTGGGCATTCCACCTCCTCTTGGTCCTGATTCCATTCAAATACCACACTAACAGGATTCTGTTCATTTCTGTTCCAGGCCTTATTCCAGTCCTGGCTTTGATTCATGCCCTTGTTTGGCAGGTCTTTGCCCTGTGTTCTGGATCATTCTCTTGACTTCCTCCTAGCTATTGCCTTCATTCTGTACCTTGTAACTCCTGACTCTTATTCTTTTCAGCCCCAACCTAGGAAAGGAACTAACCAAGTCACTAAGACCAATGATCCTTCCTGTCTACAGCCCTTGTCTGGCAGGCCACATGGTTCTGGAAGCTTGCCAGGGTCAGAGTAGGAGGAAGGCTGAAGTATTTTAGAAGATGGCAAGAGACCAAGGCCCTTCATCCTCTCTCTAACTGTCCTCCCCAAGACCTTCCCACAGGCTGATAAATATTGTTATGGTCAGAAACAGAAGTGCAGTTTGGCTCTGTTCTCTGATTTTACTCAGGTGTGTTTGTCAAACAGATGGAGGGCTGTCCAACTGGAGGGGAGAGCCAGACTCATTCACAGCACCTTCTAAATGTTCTGAAACCTGGCACAGTCCTATCTTTACTAATCTTCACCCCGAGAGGCAGGAAGACAAAGGATGATTTGGGGGTAGTGACCACATGATGGGGTGGTGGACAAACACCTCCTCCAGGTCAGGGGACAAGTTTGGGGATCTGCTATTTGCACTAAACCCCATTGGTATCTCATGTGTAAATTGGAATTATTTTGGGGGAACTGTTTAAGCAAAAGGAAAACTCTCACTTTTTCTTATCAAGATGCTACTAGACTGTCTTCTGGTTGAGCTCTCAGGCTTCTTTCTCATGATAAAAAAAATGTCTATGAATCCCACTGGTCTTTTTTTGTTTAAACGGAAGTTTTAGCTCAATGCCTCATACTTACTAGGCAGATACTCTACCACTTGAACCACGCCCCCAGCTCATTTTTGCAGACATTTTTCAGGTAGGGTCTCATATTTTTCTCTGGGCCAGCCTTGGGCCATAATCCTCCTACTTACAGCCTCCAGAGTAGCTGGGATCACAGGCATACACACCATGCCCAGCTTATTTGTTGAAATGTGGGTCTTGCTAGCTAACTTTTTGCCCTAGCTGGCCTCAAACTACAATCTTCCCAATCTCCACCTGCTAAATAACTGAGATTACAGGTGTGAGCCCCAGTACCCAGATCCCTTCTGTCCCTTTAAAGAGAGTAGATATTGAAATTCTCAAGGCTCACATGGAACTGTATGCTGAGCCTCAATATTTTCAGCAAGTATAATCTGGATATAGTTTGGACTCACCTCGAAGCATGTCTGATCTGAGGAGGTGATGACTTCACAGCCAGCTGAAAGCAGCACAGCCAAAAAGAGACAGCTGATGCTGGGAGCCATCCCAAGCCCAAGGCAAGCCCAGCTTGGTGGCCTTATCTAACACTGGAGGGAGCTAAGCACTGAAACACACTATTATGGCAACTTGGTGGCCAGATTGCTGCTCAGAAGGGTGATCTTGAGACAAGAAATGCCATGGACTGCTCAGCATTCAGTATCTCTGTGCTGCAAATAAAGGGAAGTTCCTTTTGCATACCAACAATCTTTGTCAAAAATAACTAAAAACCCAGCCATGGCGCATTTCCGGGCAAACATGAATGGGTGGTGCAGCCCTCTGGCCTCTAAGTGTGATGGTTCCCACTGGTTTTGAGTCAGTTTCAAGGGTTTGGTCAACTGGAACAGCTTCTAGTTCCTCTCCATGAGCAAGGCTTCAGGAAGCTGTTCCTCCACAAGAGATGACTTTGTTAGCTGTCTAGGACACACAAGAGGAGGGCATGTAGGACAGGCTGACAAGGCAGGACACTCTGGGAGCAGGTGGGAGGGCTATGGGCCTGGGAACTGGAGCAGGAGGCAATAGGTTTGCAGGGTACCTGCTACTTATACTTCGAGCACTACTGGGCTCCCCTCACCCATCTTTGCCACCGATCTTTTCCCCCACCAGGAGAGGAGGCCTCCATCTCTCCCCTTGATGACTCAGGTCTGTGAAAGCAGCTCAGGTGGAGCCCCTTCTTGTTCCTTCCCAATGCACCCAGGTTAAACAAAACAATTGCTATAAACAAAGGAGCCTGGCTAGAGGGAGCAGGGCTAAGGATGTCAGCCTGGGCTCTATTTCTCCTTCGAAAGAGCTTGGAAGCAGGACTGCAATTGTTCTCATCCTGGTGCAAGATGTGGCAGTGATGAAAAAAGTCAAAGAGCAAGCATTTCCTCAATGGGCTGAATTTAGCTACCCTGGACCTCCCATAATTTCCCAGATAGAAGTGATCGGTGTTATTGTCTTCCCATTCCATTCCCAGGAGCCCAGTTCTTAGCTTCAGCGTTCACAGCGTTTGAGATACTATTCCTACTGTACTATATTACCACCACCGTTAAAGTGATGATAGTAGCTATCATTGGTTGAGCACTTACTATGCGTCAAACATCCGGTCAGAATTTCCTTTTGTTTTTCAAACATTTCCCCATCCTACAATATTTCCACATGGGCTCAAAGGAGATTCTATTATTTCCCTCATTTTATAGTGGTAGAAACTGATGCTTCGCTACTAGAGAGTAAGGTTGGGGTTTGAGGGCTGGACAGCTCCAAAGGCTCTGCTATTACTCTTCATGGTTGAAGAGCAGAAGAATGTTCTTCCTCTGGAGATTTCAGAGCAGATGCTAAAAAGTGCAGAGGGTTAGAGAAACTGCATACTTGACGCTGTGCAGGTCTGTTTTAGGTAATTCAACATTCTGTCTTTCTTTTGCTTTTTGGCAATACTGGGGTTTGACCTCAGGGCCTCATGCATTACTAGGCAGGTGCTCTACCACTTGAGCACTAAGCCTTTATGATATGCTTGGATTTCTGGGCTTGCTGACTTGGATATCTGATTTCTGTCTGCGTGATAGAGATAGGATGCGCTCTGGAGGCTTTTTCTTAAGTATATTATTAGCAATAGAGATAGTAAAGATGCTATTGGCAAAGTATGGTATAAGCAAATGCAGGCAAGTGACAGCTACTTTGCTTCAAAGATGGCATCTGTTATCCTGCATGGGAAGAGGTGGGAACTGCAAGGTGTCGGAGTCTACTTACCAAATGAGTGGTAAGTAGACTCTTACTTACCACACTGCCAAGTCATTTTACTCCTGAGTCTTTTCACCATCTGCAAAACCAGAACTGTAATTCCTGTTCTGCTTACATCACAGATTGGATCCTATATGGGAAAATGCTTTCTTAACCTTAAAGCCCTACATAAATACAAAGAATGTGAAGCAAAGACTCCTCTGAGTCACCAGTCGCAGTGTCATATAAAAATCACTCTCACGAAATTGTCCCCTGCCCCAGAGACATTGAAAAGTCATATTACTTTCCTTTTTAAAGAAAGGTTTGATGGCCTGGTTAAGGCCAGAAGATTTTGTCATTTTCTGAGACCACACCATTTGCATATGATTTGCATGTGTTTGCATAATGGATTCAAAAGACTCACTGCAAGTGTATAAGAGTAAAAGAAAATAAATGAATATGAGTGACCTTCTGCCACAGCATTCAGATCAAATATTCAGGGCATAATACCCTGAAATATGAAATAGATTAAAATTTAAACTATTGCAAACAGATAGGAAGATAGGTTTTAGAGTTCAGAAGCAAGAATGAAACACTTATTTGGCCCCAGGTTGTAAAGAATTACATCCTCCTAAAGGTTACCCCATCCAAATGATTTTCATGCCCGAATTCTCCCCTCCACACCCCTTACCCCACTTCTCTCTGTAGGCAAAACATACTCATTGCATTATTTCTCAGTCTATTCTGAAATGTCTCAGTGACAGAAATCTTACTATCTCCCAACAAATTGTTCTGGTCAATTTTGACTATTTAAAAAACTTAATCTTATACTTAACTGCTAAAATCTTCCCTCTAATGCCCACATAAACATTCTGGTTTTCTCCAGCTAACGGAGTAAATTCAAACCCTTTCCTATCTGCCAATCCTTCAGGTATTTGAAAATATTTATGTCCCTAGTTCTTCCCCTTTCTAGGCTAAAAATACCTACTTCTGCTAATTGAGTCACAAGTTTATGCATTTCTAATCTCTACCATTCAGTTTATTTGAATACTTTCCAAATTGCTCAAGAAATGTACCCACCTGAGTTTTAATCCTAGTTTTGCTATTAACTGATTGTGTGTCATAGGGATAGTCACTGGGTCTGAAGTTAGTCATCAGTAAAATGACAGAGTTGGATTAATTTATCTATAAGATACTTCTTCACTCAAAATTCCATTGTCCTATTTCAAAATTACAAACTTTCAATTTGCTATGTAGGAAAGTTATTGGCTTCAGCCAAAAAAATGAAGTTACACGTGCTTTCTCTTCCTTTCTCTTCTTGGCTGGAGCAAAGAGCACCATGACTGCTGCAATCCCAAATCACCCACAGTACAATGGAGGGGCGGAGCAGTCAGCATCCACGCTAAGAATGATTTCTGTCAGAGATACAGAGAGGGAGAGGGCAAGCTGAGAAAAGGCATCAGAAACTCAAGTTATTTCTACTGACCAACTGCCACATCAATGAAGAAACAACAGATCTGTGGGCCTTGAAATTTCTCATGAAGTTTAAGTGTTCTTAAATTAGATATCAACATAGATTTACATATATCCTAAATCATTCTTTTTATTGTTGTTCTATTATTTTATGAGGTCCACGTAGTTCATCCTTTATGGTTACCTGTTCTCCATGGGTGTTCCCAAAGAACTGCCCACTTTCATGTCTCGTGGATCCTATGTGGTCACTTCCCTGTGTCTCCATGTGACTATAGTCTAGGAGTGACTTGGGGTCCTAGGATACCTTCTTTGGCCCTTCAGGCCATTTTCTGGTGATAATCCAAAGGCTAAATTACTTTCTTTCAGAATGTGCAAGTCAAAATATGCTCTTGTGATCCAAATTTAATGAAGAACTAGATGTGTAGTTCCATTTGATGATGGACAGTCGATGTTAAACTTGCTTACCTTTTTCCTCTGAGTACATTTAGTTTTGGTTCTGCTTTTGACTCAAGCCTACTTCCTCCTCTGCCATTCCCCCACCTCCAAATGGTTAAACCTAGTTGGTATCTAAACTTCTACTTGAATATTTGAATATACTTTATAATTAATATTACTTCTGTCAATTATTTTTCTCAATACTTGTCTACTTTTTTTTTTTACCAAATTGTTATGATACAAGGTGCAGAACCATACTCCCAAAGTAGAGTCCTCTTCAAAGTTATTGCCACCCTCTGATCTGAAGTTGCTTGGTGTGCTGCTTTGTAGGCACATCAGAACAGAGCCTGTGGTTCCTTTGATTCTATTTGTGGTCAAGCGGCTGCTATGCTGTTCCTTTGCAGTTGATGACACTTGTGAGGCTGGACAAAGCAAGTGATGCTGCTGCCCCTAAGCCTTCAGAGGGGACATGGCTCTCCTCATGTGCTGCTTAATTTCTTAGCAGAGGAAAGACTTTTCTTCTAGGTTCTGTGCTGGGGCCTGTGAATTGAACTTACAAAAGAAAGATTCACAGATGAAAAAGCATAAAAATTTAATTTGCTGTTAATATTTTTATGTGGCACAGGGAGTTTCATAAAAAGAAGGAACTCCAAAGAAGCGATTAGACCTAAGGGCTGTTACACTACTTTAACAAAGATCAGTACATTGCGGGAAGATGATGAGATACAGGAAAAAGACGTCTAGGCTGGGAGAAGTAAGTTGTGCAAAGTGTATGAGAAATATATAGGGGAAACTAATGGGAGGTGAGGGTTGTTGTTAAGGTCTGCTTTGACTCCTTGCATGGGGAATTTATGCCCTGCTTTTAGGAAGAAATGGGGAGGACAGAGCACCTTCCTACCTCTATAAATAAATAAATCTTTATTGTCTTCAACTCAAAACAATCAAAAAGTGGCAGATATGGGGTGGGAATGTTCTATGTATTGTTGATGGCACTGCTGCCAACAGCAAAAAACCAGAACAGGCAATGTCTTCACATGGCGCAGCCAGCTTGCTTTATCACCTAAGCACTCTAGGTCTTTGTACACCTTCAAGTCCAAGTCTACTGGGCTTTTGTACTCAGGGGAGGTCAGAAATCCTTCCTTTTCTCATCCAAGGACAGTTTGTATTTTCTGCCCCAGGATTTACCTCTTCCTAAAATGACTAATATTGAAAGCATTCATTCTCTGAAGCCTTCATTACAGCAATTTAAAAACAGATGAAGGAATATTTTCCCCAAATCTGGGTTTCATTATTTTTTGTGGTCACTTAGCTATACACACATGGTTCTGAAAATGTGTGTGACATAACAGAGTATCTGTCAAGCTTTCACTTTCAATTAATCAGAATGTTAGTGTGATTCACTAACTTCTTTTGCACCTGATATATTTTATGAAGGCAGAAATATTAAAGGCATCCTTAGGGTTTTTCACTCAAACTGTAAATGGATACA